GTCTTTGGTGATTTCTATATTTTGTGCTTTATACATCGTCTGTTGAATTTTTTTTAAAATGTCTCATAAAATTACGAAGTTTCGATAGATGATTTACCTTCGTCATCACATGTAGAAGGCGACACCTACTGTGTGGGATCCGATAGACTGGGAGTGAGCTGCTTTTTCCAGTCTCGTTATGAATATACATTTTTTTTAGAACTTTGTGACTTTTAAGTCGAGAATAAAGAAATTAAAAAGGTGTGAAATACTTTGCTTACACAAAAAAATCACTGTTTGCACTTTTGATCAAGATTTCTACATACTAACAAAAATTCTAGTTCCGAAAGTGATTTTTTTACGATACGTTCAGCTTTGTTATGACACCATTTTTTAATGCAAATACGTTTTTAATCGCTTTAAAAACAGTTGAAGTTTTACTAACAAAGCATCAAAATCGGGATAATGATGAATGTAAATAACAAGCATAATGGGTGATGTGAAAGCAAGATTTTTATCATTTTTTATTTGCCTTTGGTATAGAAGATTTTATATTGCGTGTTAGATACTATATTCTCTTTCAAAAGCCAGTTCATTAGTGATATTAGTCTTGTGTATTCTTTCAAGGCGTTCACTTATCAGTTCGCTTCTTAATATCCAACCATAGACCGCCCTTAGCAGCGAGCATAAAGTAATTCGGATCTGGTATTACAGAAACTGGAGTTCGCTTGTTAGGAGAGATTCTGAAATTAAAAATGACTGTGGCGATACCAGCTTTTATCTGCAGGAGAGCAAACCGGAAACCTGAAAGCGAAAGAAGGTCAGGGTAAAATTATTAATTCAGGCTCAAGAAGATACAGATTAACACTACTTCTTTTAACAAAAAACAGAGGTGCATATTTATCAACAGCGTTGTAATAGTTATACGCATTCAATAAGAACACCACATGGAAATAAGGAAGTGATCGTTATTCACAAAGACAGTCATCTTCGTACTCATCGCCGTGAGAACCTTAAATCTCACATCGTTGTTCGTCCGTAATTGAAAGAATACAGACGCAGAGATTTATCAGCGATAAAAATACAGGTGGTAGCTCATCGTCAAGGAGTGACAGATTATACCACATTTAGGTTATGTAATGTAGTATTTTGGAAATCAGCATGTTTTGATGTGAAGACTAAAACGTGGTAAATACTCCGTAAATTATGACATTATCGCATGCTTTAAAAGTTCAAATATTTTCGAACAACAATAATAAATCAAAATGATACTCATGAGGAACTTAGGAGGAGACTAAATTCCGGAAATGCCTGCTACTTCTCAGTTCAAAATATTTTGTCTTCCCGTCTGATTTCTAAGAACCTGAAGATTAAAATATACAAACCAATAATTTTACCTGTTGTTTTGTATGGGTGCGAAACATGGTCTCTCACTCAGAGGGAGGAACAGGTGTTTGAGAATATGGTGTTGAGGAGGATATTTGGGCCTAGGAGAGAAGACGATGGGGCATAGAGAAAACTGCATAATGATGAGCTTAAAAATCTGTACTCCTCCCCCAATATTGTCAGGGTGATTGAGTCGGGAAGAATGAGATGGGCGGGGCATGTAGCGCGCATGGATGGGATAAGAGGTGTGCACCGGGTACTGGTTGGGAAACCTGAAGGGAAGAGACCGCTGGGGAGACCTAGACGTAGATGGGAGGATAATGTCAATCGGGATCTATGGGAGATAGGAGTTGAAGGAGACTGGATTTTGTTGGCCCAGGACAGGGTCCGGTGGAGGGCTTTGGTTAATTTGGTGATGAACCTTAGGGGTTCAGTAAGCCATTTAGTTAGTTAGTTATCGCATGCTTTCAAAATGATTATGAATAAATATATCGGTTCCACTAGTAAAATATGCAGTAGTCTTATCAGGGTTTTTGTAAGAAGTGGTTTGGTTTTGCAAAAGTTAAAACCTGCATGAATGAAACACACGATAAAGACAAAGAAGGGGGAGCATGGAGCTTTATATGCGCAGTCCATTAAAATCTGCTTATAATTGCATTCCAAGGATCTGAAAATTCCTTATTTGAGAGAGTTTTGCTTTTGAAACTTATCTTAATCTCTTATTAGATTTCCACTAACAAAATTTGCATTACGTGTGAACTGTGCATTATTACTGTGTAATACACATTCAAGTTTTGTTTGTTTCCTTGACGTAGCCCATAAAGTACTCTGCACATCCCTTGAAACACTGTGGCAATAGGCATTATCGCCTCAAATAGCATTAATTAATTAATGTTTGTAACTCTCGTGCTTTGTGGCCTTTGAGATAGGAAACTAATTAATTATGAATTTGAACTTCAAATAACGGAGTGAACTGAGATAGTTGGTTGGTCGATACTCGAAATAAACTCAGGATATGTGAGGCATTATAAAAGAAGCTAACCTTATTGCATAACACGAATATCTCTTAGAAAACGCAGTTCGTTAACATTAAAAGGAGAGCGGAACAAAATTAAAATTCTTCGAATGCACGTACAGAGACGCGCTTCTGAAGCTCGTGTAACCCGATTTAATGCCGGAGTGCTAGCCAGCAGGAGGACCGACCAACGACGATTCTACGGTCTTCCTCATTCCATTAACACGCTCAAATTTCACGTCCATCCTACTTGTTTCTCAAGTAGCCTCACATATTATATCAAAAACTACACGCCGCCTCATTAAAAACTCTCCTCAAAGTCTTGTCAAAAAATGACAATTAAATAATTAATAATACCAATAATGTAAGATTTGTGGTTTTCACAACGGTGAGTATGAAGTTTCTGTCTTCTGGGTTATTGAGCTAGACTACACAGCGCAACAACCCAGAATACAGAAATCTTCAATACCAATATTAATTTTTATAATTTAAACAGCTGCTGCCTCCCCCACAAAATTAATCATTTCCCAATACTTTTACTTTTCACAACCTGCTTTACCGTAAGTGCGAATAAGCATTTTCTGGAAACGTCAGAGCCGGTAGAATGTCGGATAACATATTATCCCCCGTAACAAATTAAATGCGTCTCGCTCTGTATTTTTCTCTCTTTCTCTTTGTCATGCTACGAATGGTTAAGAATGTCATTGTTGACTTATTTATTCCATTATTTTATTTAATGTGTGCGCGCGTGTGTGAAGGGTGGAGGGAAGAGAGAGAGAGAGAAATCTGCTCCAGTTTTCATACTTGAGGTGTGTAGTTTTGAATGGGCCACTCTTGTGAACGCCTGCCTTTGAGGAGATAAAAACCCTGGAGACATTTCGGATGGACGGAAATTATTTTTAAGTAAATTGTAGATTACTTTGATATTTCAAGGAGAGTGTCAGCTTTTACCTCGTACCTAGACACATCCTGGGACCATCGCCGAAAGGCAAATATGAGTATCGATGGCGGGTGTTCTTGTTTTCTTCGCTGAAACGCTCCGGGTCGAAGCGCTTCGGGTCAGGGTAGTGCTGGGGATCATTGTGGATGGCATACAACGGGATTGCCACTGGCGTACCCACTTCCACTTCATACGTTCCTCCTGATGGCGTTTCCAGCTCAAATGGCTTCGTGCACACTTTCATTAGAGTCGTGGCGGGTGGGTACATCCGAAGAGCTTCTGTAAAGCGAAATCAGTAACCGTAAGTGATTATGTTCAGAGATACGCAATTTTTCGCACGTCGCCTCACACTCCTGTAGTTCATTATGTTATAACAAACCGAACATGTAGGCTACTAAGTGGTATTTGAGGTTCTCACGGCTGAGTCCGAAGATGGCTATCTTATGGATTGTAGCGCAGTATAGTCTAGTAGAAGTTTACCAACGTTTCAGAGGCCCTTGCAGCCTCCGTCATCGCCATGACCTCTGAAACGTTGGTAAGCTTCTACCTGACTAAAAACAACCCAGAAGAGAGTCATCTTTGTCCGTTCCTGCCATAAAATTTAGTGCCCCCGTAGCGTATGTGTTTAATATAATGCAATGTATGTCTATATAGGCATATGTGTATGTAACTCCGTGGAGCTGATAGTTGCTCAGGTGGATAAAAAATTCACCGCCCGTTTCTGAAACCGGGAGGGTTAATACCGTGTTCACAACATCCTACCACTGACCAGTGGAATAAAGCATACACTCACACACACTATCAATTAAGATCCATTTTAATGTCACCCACCCATATACACATTTGTCTGTCTCTCCATGGAACATAATTCTTCTTCAGAAGCTGATAGTCTGTGACTTGGTAAATAAACTTCGCTTTCTTTTCTGGTACCACCATTCTTCGAGGAGTATTAACTCTGTACTTAAAAGTCAATGTGGATTCCTATGAAGTACGTCAACTACCAAGAAAACAGTACGTCATTAGAATATGTCTAATATTAACAAATTCCAAACAAACCTTATATAACACGTTAATTGAAATTCATACACGAAGAAACAGATTAGATAAATTAAAACATTTTGAAAGAAGTATATTCAATTCAATTCAATTCATTCATTAAAGTGCTTGACAGCAGCCAAAAAGGCCAATAACAGCCAAGCACTAACAACAATATAGACATTACAATACAAAAGCAAACAAACAAAGAACTGAAAACATAACTGTACAATATTGATTTATTGTAAAATAAATAAAAAACTAAATGTTATAGATAAGTAAAATAATAATTATACTAAAAACAGTTTAATATTGGCCAAAAAACATACACAATAAAATGTCATACTAAGTAAACAATAAAAAACCATGATTATTGTTTAAAAAGCTGACTGACCTCAGTAAGCAAAACACGATCTTTGTTAAAGATGTCGATGCTCCTACAGACTGCATTGGCAGCAGAAACACATCTGGCAGAGGGACTGGCCTTGAAATTACGTTGTACAGTAAAGGTAGAGTTGTCTCTGATAGACCTAGTAGGTATGCAGAGACTAACTTTATCAAAAAAAGATGAGCAACTAATTTTGCCTTTAAAAACATTCACGAGGAAAAGAGCATCCAAAAGCCTCCTCCTTAAATGTAACGATAAGAAATTTAATGTAACTAATATTTCATCATAATTATAGGCACAAACGCCATTAAAGAATCTAGCGTAACATAGAGCTACAAATTTCCTTTGAATCCTTTCCAATTTAAAGGAATCAGTGTTAGTAATAGAGTTCCAAACAACGGAAGCATACTCAATTTTGGAACGGACTAAAGTACTGTACAAGACGAAAAGGCTATCAACAGTGGAGAAGCAAGAAGTAATGTACCGAATCAAACCTAGCATTTTCAAGCTCTGTGATAATATATAGTTGATATGCTGGTGAAAATAGAGCTTACAGTCCAGTAGAACACCGAGATCTTTAACACAATGGGAGCGTGCCACCAGGTTGTTACACAATTTGTAATTAAAATAAATACTGTTTGTCTTCCGGGTGAATGATATAACAGTCGTTTTACTTAAATTAAGTTGCATCCCATTCACAAGACACCAATTTTGCACTGAATGGATGTCGGTCTGGGTGATAGTCCAAAGTTTCTAAGTTACTAATGCTATTTAAGTAAACGTTCTTGTTTTTAAAATATTATCACTTTTGTGATTTGTAATTATCTTACCGGACAAGGCCATGTCGAGGTACGTCATTTCTTGAATGCCGTCGAAAGTGAGTTCGCCGCCATGTTTCTGCAGAATAGAGTCCACTTCTTCCCGTATCTTCGTCTGTACGTCAGGGTTAACAGCAAGGCAGTACAGCCCAAAGGCCATAGCAATAGACGACGTTTCGTAACCATCGAAAAAGAAAGTACTTGCTTGTGCAGCAATATCTTCTTCAGTGAAACCTGTAATGAGGAAGGGAACTGCGTATAAAAGGCTGGAAAAGTATGCCTACTGTTGCGAATTGTGTAATGAAGCCTTCTTTGAGATAATAACCGCCTTCTTCCAAGGAACTGGTTCTCCTTTACTGAAAACGGAAAACAATCAGAAAGAAGCTTTACATTACATAGGAATCCTTGCAATTACCACTTCACTAACTTTGAATTCTTTAATATTAGAAATTTACTAAGAAAACAACGATCAGTTATATGAAACTGTGATCCTAACTAGAAACACAATGAAATCCAATAATTTATTTTATTTCTGTAGTTACGCCGCAAGTTGTAAGCCTATTTGTTCGGTTCTGAATTACACAATGTAACAGAAACCACAAAACACGCACCGCGTTAACTGAAGTTGTTCGTGTACATCTTTAAAAGTGTTATTAATTAACTCTATAGACTAAGGTCATTCGTAAGAAACTGAGTCTCATAGCCATTCAAACAATTCCTCGTCTTGTATGGAACCTGAATGTTTACAACGGCTTCCACTAGACTCACTCCAGATCTTGATAAATCGGCTACATCCTCAAACTCGCCTTAATTATTTTAATTCTAATAACGTTTAGTGGCTCAGGATACGGACAAGTGGCGGGTTCTTTTGAACACGATAATGAAGCTTCTGGTTTTCTCAAAGGAGGAAATTCCTTGGCTAGTTGAACATAACTATCTTAATTAAAATATAGGAAACAAGGTTTATTCAAATCACTCCAAACAAAAGACACATCAGATTGATGAATATATCTGAATCCAGATTAAACTACTTAAAAATGCAACTTATTATATCCGCCGAATTACATGCGAGTTTTCAAATTGTGTGGAGTGACTTCACTTTAATAACATTTTCTCTGACAATCAGCCCCGTTAACTGGTTACCGTAGTAAACCGACGTTTCGGGAACAAACTCTGTCCCCATCTTCGGGGTTCTGATGTGACTGGATCCTCGGAAGTACACTCATAATTGTTTTGTTATTTTAGCTGCCATTATATTTTCTAATAAAAGTATTCTAACTTTTGAAGCCCTAAGCTTATCTAAACAGTATTTACAAATTCAGTTGTTACCTCGAAGGAAACAATGTGTAGGAAACTTTAAAATTCCAAGTAGATTTGTCGGTGGTTGGTAGTCGTTTAAAAAATCTATATGTCTAGGTCTCTGTGGTTCTGATTTTGCCTCTGACTATATTTGTGTAACGATATCTTGCGTCTTAACAACAGCTCATGGTGTTGGGAATCCAAATTATTGCTGTACAGGATGAATATGAACTCTACGACGTACATGAGACAGGATAATTAACAATTCTATTAACAACTTCTCTGTTCAATCTCACGTGAGAATGCAGCCCACCTAATTAATGGTTGAGCACTACAGCTGGTTGTTAACATTGGGAGGGAACATGATTGTTCTACAGCTCATTTATATCTAACGTAACATTTTAGAGATGAATTTAACATGAGTTAAAATTTCATTCCGCTAAAGGGTCATAAGACGCCTTGTCAGAGGAGAAGTAAAATTAGTCTCCGGGTTTGAGGCAAACCGAGCAGGTTATCCCATGAGTAAAGCTTCTGGTTGGTAGTTCTACGTCTGTACAATAGCAGCTTTTCTGTGGATGTTCTCATGATGATGCATGGGCCTGTTTACAAAAATCGCGACTACTTCAGTCGTTCCTAACCCACCACTCAAATGCCATTTCTCAAACGACGCATCATGAACTTCTAACACTGTTACAAACGAAGCAAGCGGCTGTGACTCCAACACCACTACACCGAGGCCCGCCCTCAGCCACTTACACCCCCTTTCAATTCTCAAAATCTGCCTGTCTTTCCATATCTTTCTAGGTCATACAAGCTGATGTTTTATAAGACGTCTTTCCACCAAAATTCTGTATGTATTTCTTACCTCTTCCATCCAGTAGCATGTTTAGGCTTGTCGTAGACTTTCGGATTTGTCTATCGTAACAATATTAGACGGCCTGAATAAACCAGGAAATTCATTCTTATGTAATATCCCGAACTGCTAACTTACTTTTCCTTACCTAGATAACAAACATTTTCCTGAGCACTTTTTCAAACACTTATAATTTATATTCTTCCGCAAAAATAACAAGACATTGCCTTACAATGATACAGAGCTATGCAGATTATTGCTCTGTGGGTATAAATTCCTATTTTCAGCAATTTGTAAGGTAGTAATGGTAAGATTTTCCGATCTGAATAATAACAAGCATTTACAAAATGTATTATTTACTTAATTTAACCATGAACCTTCTTATTTCTAAGTTAGTGGAGTGCGTTTGAAATACGTTGACTTGCTAATTTATTTGCAGATTAATTAGAGAAGAACTGCTACTGAACTATAATGTAAGCATGTTACATTTAATTACCTTTGTCTTCGTAATGGAAAGAGTATGATATTAAGCGACGGAAGTGTAATACATTCGTATAATTTGCGAAGAAAGGTGTTCATGATGAGTCTTTCGGCACTCAATTAAACTCCAGGTTCAAGACATGACCAACATCTGACTCATATTTAGCCTGGTATGTTGAAAACCAGTTGTTGTACGTAAACATACTGAAGATTGATGCTTTGATTGTTTGAATACGCTTATCAGCTGCATGGTTACAGGCATCGAATGTTAGAATTATTGCTTGTGATAAATTAGAAGGGATGTGGCAGGAAATTATTGTTGTTGTTGATTAAGGCTCCTCGGGCATGCACGAGACGTTCTCCGGATGTTTCTTCCGTATCAGCGTAAAAGCTGCAGATTTTAAACTACTTTAATTTAATGGCTAAAAATTTAGTGGTAGCTACCGAGAGAACCTACGAGAAACCTCAACTGTAATACCCAGGCTTCGAAACACATTCGAGAAACGAGAGAGCAAAGGACTCGCTCTGCACGTAATGTTTTGTGCAGGTGGGAGTCCTTTCTGTTCGTTGCCGCTACTGAGGTCCTTACCGTCAGCAGTTCCTCCTCCCTTCTTGTAGAGGGTAATGAGATGCTGCAGAAAGTCTGCCCGAATCACGTTGTTTTTCTCACGGTACTCCATCACTTCATTGACAATACGCTGGAGAAACTTGTACATCTTCTGAGTTACTACCCTATAACAACCAAAGTAGATATGCATTTAAAACTTCGTTACTTGAGTACCTTTCATGAAACGTTTCAAGATTGGTTTAGATTTAGATTTTAACATCGCTGCTTCAGCTTCAGAATTCAAGCCTACAGTCCTTTGTATATGAGGTGTAAAGTTGGCCATAAGCGATTACTACGCAAATATTTTGAAGGAGGCCACAGTTGTCTTTAAAACGATTATTTCGATATTGTCTGGAGAGGCTGAGCAAATCAACGAAACACTTTTACAATATCCCTACCTCAATCATCGACAGGTACTAAGAACTTATTAAGGAAATGTGAGTGAGGTATTTTACAACCCAAGTCACAGGTACTACGTTATATTCATAACCGAACATTTAAAAATGTTGTAAAGATTTTTGTATTCATTTCAACATTTGTACAAATTAGTTCGCATAAAGAGAAGATAAATTCACTCGTTGAAATAGTATTGCAAGATATGATAATTATGTGCGCTCTCTTCTGTAACTGTAAATGTAACCGTTTTCAAGATTATATGGGTGTTCAGTGGACGGTCAGAATAATGAACTTAAGAAATGGAAGTCCGCGTCAGTAAAGCCTAGAATTTAAGTTCGTGAAGATTAAATTAAATGCGAAACTGCATTTTTAGGAAGATTCTCTATTAATGCTGTTGTAAATTTGGCCAAACTACAAATTCTTTGTGAGATTTCAGGTTCTCACGGCAGTGAGTATGAAGATTATTGTATTGTTTGCTATTGGCTAGGGCGAGAGATGAGAGCGACAGCAAACATCTCTGAAACTTCAATAAATTGATGTAAGATTTCCGGGTTACAAGCCGCCTCAGGTGGCTGAACGGTGAATAAACCATATCTTCTGCCAGACTGCACTCCGCAAGAACCCAGAAGAGAGCCATCTCTAACCAATTCCTTATTGTAAGAATGAAATTAATAGTCTTGTACTTACCTAATTTTCAAAAATTTAGCAACACGTGGAAGCAGCATGACGATTAATACTTTCATGTTTTTCCAAAAAGATGGTTCGAAGGTTTCTCGGCCTATCTGACGGAGTTCACAATCGGGGTCTTGCAGTCCCTCTCCACGGATACCGAACGCACAAGTAGCCACAACGTCGGTTGTGTACCGGGTGCATAGTTCCTTCAATTCAAACTCTGTCCCAGAAGCACCTTAGAGGGAAAACACAAATTTTCGCGTTCAGTGAATACATAAAAGGGGTTACAAATAAGTTAAGAAAATCCGTTTTCTCTTCTTGCTTTATGTTCTTAGGAAAACTTAATGCATTAAGCTATCTGTCTATCAGTGTTCCGTTGCTATTCTGTTGTTAATATCTAAAATGTTGCTCTGACATGCTGCTGTTAGAATAATTATCGCCATATTATCAAGACTGCAGTCGTCCGTAACGTTTTCCCTCTCTGTCCAGAAGCTAAACAAGGAGTCGGCGTTAGAAATGTTTACAGTAGAAAATCAAATTTAGAACAACGTACAAATCAAAACTATTAATACTATGAAGGCCTTCAAATAGTCGCATGTAATTTGCACGGACAGTGACCCAATTGTTTTAGTAATCTATGACTATCAAACTCCACGGAGGAGAGTCCTTTCTAAGAAGCTGATTGTCGCTCATCTGACCAAGATATTTCCAGTCATAATTATCTGTTAACTCGTTTACTATAGCTCCGCTGGGCCCTGTTCTGGGTCAGTTTAATCCATTCTACAAATTCGGAAACTATTTTTTAAGTCATTTTGATGTTTTCCCCGGTCTAAGTTTAGACCTCTGAAGTAAACTAATCTTTACAGGTTTGAGGCCAAAATTTTGTGTGAAATTCTCTTATATCCTATGCTAATTTTACCTGAGTTCTCAATGCAGTGTGTTAGTTCCACGCAAACCTCTGCGATGAGAGGAAAATAAGGCTTTATCTTTCCCAAACTGAGTGCTGGTGTTAACTGTGACCGTGTTTTCTTCCACCTAGCAGACAGTAAGAGCAGGAAGTTTTAAAACTGAACTACCTTTACGCCAAGACCAGCCAACTGTCAAGACGTGTATAAACAAGTTCATTAAATCAAGGGTGAACTAATAAGGCAACATCCCCATTTTGGCCTCGGTATTATATGAAAGTCGACGGTACTTATTAACATATTCCGAAGTTAATGGAGCGTTCCGATACGAAAATTGAGGAAGTGGTTCAGTCTGCCCGTAGCGATCTTTCTCCGTTAACATGTCCGTCAAACATATAACATTTCATAATAATTACACTTTCAGAAAAAAACTAGATGCTTATTTTAAGATTCTGAAACATTATCTCTACAAGACAGTCTCTCCACATGAGGTGCAGATGTACAGGGAAGGAAATTTGGTTTCAAAATTATATATTTCGTTTGCTACATGGAGTCTTTATACATCGATTTATTTTTATTTCGGTGATATATTTCTGTACAGTAATTTTCTTCAATTTAGAAATTCTTTATCTTTCAATGTATAAGAATAATGGGCCAACCCGGCTTTGGGCATCAGACCAATCGATCAGGCTACAACCTTCATTTGAATCTATAAAATCTTCTCGGGCAATCAGCCGCGTTAGCTGTTTACCGTAGTAAACCGACGTTTCAGGAACAAACTCTGTCCAGATCTTCAGGGTTCTGATGTGACTAGGAAGTTTCAGGCGACTTCCGAGGATCCAGTCACATCAGAACCCTGAAGATCTGGACAGAGTTTGTTTACTACGGTAACCAGCTTACGCGGCTGATTGCCCGAGAAGATTTTATTGATTGTACTTGCCGCGAAAGTCTCAAATCCTATTTCATTTGAATCTGTTGGGTGTAAGTGATGCAATCCGTGATATTAAACATCTTCCTAAATCATGTAATGCGAGATTTCTAAAACTAAACTAAAAATAATATATTCGTTATTCCTTTTATCAGAAATCGATGGCAAAGTGAGGAAACCTTTTTTTTGAGATTCATGGGTGCCATGAGGTTTTTAATCGAGTTTGACTTTTATAATATGCTAAGTTGAATCGATTTTAAACCCAATATGCAGCCATTAGATAAACCTACTGTATGGATGTTCTCTCTGTTTAAACTATTTATAATTACACATGATTTATTTTTAGAGGAAAAGAACTTCTGCTATCCTTGTTACTTCTACAGATTCAGCCTAAATATGAGTTCATATATTTCGATGTGAGAAATGCGCTTACCTCTCACCAGTCAACACAAAAGGGTTGCGTCCAAATAATGGGTCCACTTCAGGGTCCGATTCAATATCGTTGTCATGGAAACTGTTGAATTCCTTGACGAGTATCGTCTTGATGAGTTCCGGGTCTCGGACCAGCAGCGACGGCTGTCTGAACTTAAACACACCTCCATATCTGTAGCCATCCAGCTTCCTTGGAAAGAAATGCAACACTGTAATTCAGAGTTTCTGAATTTCGGCGATCCGACAATAACCTGCACTGTTTAACATTTATCAGCAGCCGTTGGTATCCCTACTCACATAGCAATATGCCAGAGCCTTGTTGGGTTGAAGAATAAGGGAATCAAATTCTTACTGAAATTAAATCATAGAAGTAGCATTGGGAATCATAGGCATCTAACCTAGACGTGCAACGATACGTTTATAGAAGATGACTGTCTTCTGGGTTGTTGCGCCGTGTAGTCTGAGTGTAGTGTGAGCATGTGGGTCCAGTTTATCTCGTTCAAGTCAGCTCAGGCGAGCTTTTGTGGGCATGGTTGTAAAATTTCGGTATCCGAAAATGTCCGAGAACTTGTTGACTAGGTGAACGACTAGCAGCTTCTAAAGCAAGATTGTTGAATAGAGTTCTGTAGTTAAGGGTAGCATCCATTCGCAAGCTTTTGTGAATACGTGTATTCATTTATGTATTGCACAGAAAGAATAATATCTTCATTTGAAACACCACCCAGAAGAATTCATTTATGTAACATATGCCTGTTTCTCAACGTCACTGACGTCTTCCGATTTCCAGTGGTCACTCATCTCTTTTCGCTTGTACCATCTGTTTTTTGCCTCTCTGACCGTATCCGTACCAATCAGTTATTTTTTGTTTCCTGTCATCCAGAACAAAATTTTTAAACCATTTTGTCTTAGTTATGCCTACTAATTGGTCGTATGAAAAATATTGATAATAAAGTGCTTGTTCCCGATGGTTGTATCAATACCATTATACCTACTCTTCTAATTCTGAAGTACAGTTTTTAAATACGTATATTTTAAATTGTATAGATTATATGTTTTTCATTACCAAAAATCATTCAACATTCTCTATTTAACTTTCTGAAGTGAAATTTTCATATTAGTTCTGTGTTGCTGTAATGTTACTTCGGATGTGGCTTTTCTCTTTAGAGACTCCCATAGGTTGTTACTAGGTACGCTAATTTTATCATGCCTTTGGAAATCGTATTCCTCTTC